GATGCAGATGTTCAAACAAACTAGAAAATCCAAGAGTTTCCTAAGATATGTGTAACCAGGGCGTCCCAACCCTTTAGCAAGGGCTCTGACATCCTTTTGGAGTGGTTCCATTTCCTCCTTTGTCTTCTTAGGTTAATATACATAGAAGAACAAGAGAGCCAATTTCATGTGCATGAGAGAGACATAGTGGTATTGACACTGAAGTATACTGATACCCCTTGTCACTACTGATGCTAGACTTTATGATGGTCAAGTGGCACTATATGGATAAGAGTTAGTCTCTGGGACATTTGAGAGCTTCTTATTTCAGTGATGAACTTGCAGGGACAGAGACAAGTGTGAACAAAGAAACAGACTCCAACCTAAAGGGGTTTGTGCTTTAGAAGGGGCTGGATCTTGGAATTGAATGGAATGTGTAGTCTGTATTACATACAATTAATACTTCTTCTTTGACTATACATTTACTAGTTTAACTAAACTATGTGTTTAAATTATGATCTTAATTGAAAGTATACAAATGAAGCAACATGAAAAGAAGGCAACATCAGTGGGACCAAGTGGTAGGATCTGATCAACAGAATGACTGTTATACTCCTAGATCAAAATCTACAAAATCATGACAGTATAGTAGTGTGAGCAAAGTATTGGTTGACTGGAAGCCATACGCTCTGAGTTTCTTCTTGTTATATAAGAACTTTTCCTAGTTCACTACAGCTAAGTAAGGTCCCATGAACACATTGCTCATTTTTCTGGAACAAATCAAGTTGGTCAGGTGACATAATATTTTGCCAAAGTAGCACATTTCCCAGGCTTCAAAAGAAATGCAGAATTGAAAGGGGGTGGGAAAATTCCTATCATATGAACTTGTTTCACCATTCCACATAGAACCCAAACATTTTAAATTCATTTATGAAACCTCTGCTCACCTTCAAAATATTCTGTTGTTAATAGTAAAATCTAAGGTGAATTTGAATTTATGGTTGATTTCTTTAATCACTGAATCCCTCTTCCATTCTGCCATTGCAACACTGTAGTTGCTTAATTATTGTTGTTGACTGACTGGTTAAATTCTGCTTGACCACAGAGGGCAGAAGTAGAAGGAATTAATGCAAGTTGTAGAGAGTCACATTTGGGTTGAATGGAAAGGAGAATTCCCAATAATCAATCAGTCAAAATGGCTGCTTTGGGAAGCATGGGTTCTGTATTATAGTCTTCAAGTTGTGGTTTGCCCCAAGTTCTCAAAGAGGACCATGGCATCAGGAAGATGATGCCATGACTTGCAAGTGAATTGGATTTAAGTGAGGGAGGGCTGTGCAAAGTCACCAGCCTCACTCTGTCCTCCAGAGCCATCGGGGTCCAATGGCAAGATATAGATCAGGATGAGTGGAGAAAGCCCAGGACACAGTAGAAGACCTTGGACTTTTTTTTTTTGGTTAGGCAATGGGGTTAAGTGACTTGCCCAGGGTCACACAGTTAGTAAGTGTTATGTGTCTGAGGCTGGATTTGAACTCAGGTCCTCCTGAATCCAGGGCCAGTGCTTTATCCACTGCGCCACCTAGCTGCCCTCTTAGACTTTTTAAGCTAAGGTCTTTCTGAGTTCTCACTTTGAGGCAAGGCCCATTCAGTGATTAGGGCTCTTTAAGAATGAGTCAAGAGATGGCTCCTTTAATCTAAAATTTATTTTTTAAATTAATTAATTTATTTTTAGTTTTCAACATTCACTTCCACAAGATTTTGAGTTCCAATTTTTCTCCTCATCTCATCCCTCCCCCCACCTCAAGATGGCATGCATTCTGAGTACCCCTTCTCCTAATTTGCCCTTTTATCTAAAATTAAAAAAAAAAATCAAACTGGGAGAGGAAGACCCTGGGGTTGCTGGCCAAAAGAGAAACAATTACTATTTACATTCACTTTGAGCCATCAGGGACCAAAAAATAACCATTAAGTGGTGGTTGGGACCTATCAATGAGAGCCAGAGTGAATTGGATTTAAGGCATGGTCTTTAAGAAATAAATGTAGCAGGGCAGCTAGGTGGCGCAGTGGATAGAGCACTTGCCCTGAAGTCAGGAGGACCTGAGTTCAAATCCGGCCTCAGACCAACACTTGACACTTACTAGCTGTGTGACCCTGGGCAAGTCACTTAACCCCAATTGCCTAAAAAAAAAAAAAACTTAAAAAGAAAGAAAGAAATGTAGCCAGTAAACCTCAAGATAACATAATAAGTTTCAGCCATCAAAATTTACCTTGCTTTGGGCAGAGCACCCTCAAGTAAGGGCATGATACCCCATGTGGAAAGAGAAGAGAGGAGAGGAGAGAAGAGGCTGAATGACTGCTTACCAATGATATTGTAGAAGGAACTCCTGATCAGATATAGGTTTGACCAGACAGCTGCTGAAGTCCCTGATCTAGTAGTCAACAGTGGCAAGACACATGGATTTCATGGAAATACTTCACATTTCAATGCTCCAAAGATCCACGATGTCAAAAGTATGGGTATAACATCAACTGATGTAGCCCACAAGCCCTCTAGGCTTAGTCACTCACTTCTTAACCCTTTGTAACTTGGCTTGCAATCTCACCACCCAACTGAAACTGTTTTTCAGGATTACCAATGATCTTTCCAAGGCCAAAATTGGTAGCCTCTACCAAATTCTTACTCTTTTTCACCTCACTGAAGCAGATGATATCCTTGGTCCCCCTCCTCTTGGATAATCCTTTCTCCCTTGGCTTTTGTTCACTCCTGCTTGTCCGACTGCTCCTTCACAATCTCCTTTGCTGGAGTATCATCATTGCCCTACTCCCTAAATGTGAATGCCCCCCAAGATTCTGTCTTGAACTGGATTGAATGGAGTTGATTACTTCATGAATTACTGTGGCCCCCAAAATTCCTCCATTTGGCACTTGACCCAACCCTAACATTTTGGCAATCCTTGAGATAGTAACTAGGTATAAAAAAGGAACAAAATTTCCTGTAAATATGTCATGCCAATATAGATGTTACATAACCTAGGATTGGACGATATATGAAGAATAAGAATAAAGAATTAGAATCAGTTTAATACTCCACCAAAATAAGCAGATAAGTATTCTGGGTCTCAGAGAATGTGATAGTTATATTCACTAAAAACACTAAAAACAGCACTTTTCAGTGACCTCAGAAGGCATCAATAAAAGCTCAAAAAGTTTTCAAACCATAATAGCATTTAATTAACTTTAATTTTAAAAAATAAACATCAATAATGTAGCTCCTTTAAAAAGACCAAGGGGCATCATGAAATGAAATTAAACATAAAGGATCACAGTTTCAAAAAGGTTGAGCCATTGAAATTTTGGAATGTGCCCAAACCATATAAGACCTATATCTATGGGACTCATAGGGAAAACTATTGGGGCCCATGGGTTTGGAAAATGATGCAATAGGGAAAGAAAATGCTGGCTATTGTTTGCAGGGTCTAGTTTGCGCTAAACCCAAAGGTGTTTGCCTAAGGTAAATATTAATTTATCTTTTGCAGCAGCCTTCAAAGGGAACCAAGCTGGAGATCATACCTTGTGCTAAAGAATCCTAGGTAAAGCTAAGGCAACTCCCTGAACTCTCAGTGCCAATGCAGATTCACTTAAGGATTGATTCCAAGAGTCCTCTTTGGTCTAGACTGGTTCCTTATCCTCAAAGTGATTCTAATCTCAACCCACATCCCCAGTACTGGCTCAGAAGCAGAGCCAACTCCTGAATGGGATATAAGACCGTGAAACTTTACTATTCCCTACATTTTTTTTTCCCTCTACACCTAGACCTCTGGTAGAAAATCACTCTTTCAAATCAATACATTTAAGGCAATGGTTTCTATGTCTCTCCGCTTTTTCTTTCCCCTCACCCCCTCCAATAAGGAAATTCTCACCTTTTCATACTCATAGTGATGGGACATTTTCACTTAGTCTTCAGAGTCCATTTCAGGAGTGATAAGAATGAATACTTTGGACAAAACACCTATTGGTGAGGAGTTTTTTTTTTTTTTATTTGCATGGAAGGGTAGAAGGTCAGCATTGTTTACTTGTTACCTATCATAGGTGATTGGCTATCTGGAGCTCTGTAAGCTAAAGCTGCACTTTGAATGGTTAAGTCTGGGAGGTGGAGAAGACATGTCAATACTGCAATGAGCCACAGTTTAATGAGGTCTTCCTTTGATTTTTAACCCTTTCCTTTACTGTCAAAGAAGCAGTTACCTCAAATAAGTGACCATTTACCTCCAGAAGGGAAAAGGACAGGTGGTCTTTCTTACACAAGACTGGATTCATTATTAAATTATCTTTATTACTACTTTAGAAAGGTGGTATCACATAGCATATAGAAAGCTGCCTGTAGAATCAGAAAGAACAAGGTTCAAGTCTTGCCTTTGACTCATACCTCAGACAAAATACTTTACCTCTCAAGGTCCTATGCTCTTTTGTCAGAAAATAAGTTTCAGAAAATTTGCTGATTGCATGGGTAAGGGATTTTCCTCATTAAGAAGTTTCCTACACCAGTGAAATTACAGATCTCATTCCCCAACCCCTTGAAATTATCATTTTACATCTGGTGAGGCATCTGTGTACCTATCAATGTATATTATGTCACTCATAAAAAACAGGTTCAGACCAGGTTGGGGATGGGAGGGTGGGAGAAGAACCAGGAAAGAAATATTGACTCAATATATATTTCTTGGCTTGAAAGGCTCTTTCTGATCCTCCACACTGCAGAAAATTTGCCCTCAAGGGTTAACTATATTTCCCCTCTTGTCCAGGCTTTTTGATGACTTTTCAAGGCAGGCAAACAACCCAGGAAAATCGCATCCTAAGTCACTTTGACTGCACTTGTGGTGGGACCACATAATTCTCCCAGATCCAGCCCATTCTGAAAGGGCAGAGATCCCGGACTGCATGACGAAACTGAATCAAAAAGTGGAGTCGACGGGTCTCAGAAGAAATACATTTTAGACACCCAGTCATCTTTTTAAAAGTTGTCCTTTCTGGCATTTCCTAGAGGAGGCAGACAGAAAATGACAGCGAGATTATTAAGCGTGGGCCTCACTGTGCTCTTTCTGAGCTCCTGCGTGCCCCTGGGGGCAGCTCGAATTTCTTGCAGAAATGAAGATGGTGACGCTGTAGATTGGTAGGTAAAGAAAATTCATAGGCTGGCTTTTGCAAATAAAATGCACTGGGCTGACAGGCAGATGAAGGGATTGACTGTGGAATTCTTGGGGTCCATTCTCTCCTCTTTCTCCCATCCTCCACCCTACCCTCCAAAAGACAAAGGGTTCACCTGCATTGATATTTTTTGTACACTGAACAGGAGTAGATGGGGATAGGAGAGAATTGCTTCCCCTTGTCACAAAAAAATCTCATGTAGGACCAACTCTGCAACTTATGATCCTGGTCTACACCTCTCAGAGGTGGCTGAGAAATGTAATGAGATGTCCATATAGTTGTATCAAGCCTTTTGCTTCTTTCCTCACCAGGGTGCTTCCAGGCTCCCCTTCAAGAAGTCTGAGGAAGGTAGAGAAAGGTAGTTTTCCTCTCAACATGGAAAATGGCTTTTCCCAAGAAGAATGGGAAAAATCTACATTATGGCCTACTCCCTAGTGCACTATTTGAATAACCTTGGTCTATAAGAGCGGCCACTGCAGCTGAATGGCATGTCATCGACACCAGATGATGTTCCAAGGTAATAGGATATAGCATTGCTTAGTTCAGATTGCAAAATCATCATGGATTCTCAGAAAGCTCTGATCACTCTTTGACGCTTTCTAATTGAGAGCAAACAGGATGATGGTTCAAAGGATAATAGATTGAGAGTTCAAAGGGACCCTAGAAAACATCGAGGCTAATCCTTTCCTTTTTTACAGATGAAGAAGGAAGGCCAAGAAAGATTATATTATTTACCCAAGGTTAAATGGGGAGTATGTATACAAAGTAATATTTGAACTCAGATAATTATATCAAATAACGTATGTAAAGCACCTTGTAACTCTTATTTAAATACTAGCTATTATTATTATTATTCAAAAGTCATTTATTAAGTACCAACAATGTACCAGATACTCCATTAGCTACTAGAGTACTAAAACAAGGATTCTTAATCTGGTGTCAATGAAGCTTTATTTAAATTTTTAATAGTTTGATAACTATTCCAATATGATAGGTTTCCTTTATCATTCTATGTATATTATTCTATACATTTAAAACCATGATTCTGAGGAGTCCCTAGGCTTCACCAGACTGCCAAAAAGGATCCAGGAAACAAACAAACAAAAAAGTTTAGAATCCCTGGACTAGAAGTTCCCTAAAGAACCTTCCAGCTCTATATCATCTTGACTTTTGGCCCTGTCATTTGATTTATGTAAAGTGGCACTAATTTAAAATTCACCTTTTTCATTCCCATGGGCAAAAGTGAATGTGGAGGGGCAACTAGGTGGCACAGTGGATAGAGTATCAGCTTTGGATTCGGGAGGACCTGAGTTCAAATCCAGCCTTAGACACATAACACTTACTAGCTGTGTGACCCTGGGCAAGTCACTTAACCCCATTACTTAGCCAAAAAAGAAAGAAAGAAAGAAAAAAAAAAGTAAATGTGGGAAAAAAAAGTGAAAAAAATTCCCAAAGCAAAGATGTCAAAATATCCTCTCTTGCCCTTGGTTAAATGCACAATAGACAAATGTCCAAGAATGAGATATCCATGAGCTAGGAGAGATTCTGATAGGGCAGAAACCTGCTTCCAGATTCTTTCCCTTTAGGGGAAGGTCTGCTTAGACCACATATGTGCCTACAGAAGGGTGTAATTTACTGGAGCGACGGAATCAATAGGCATCAAAGTTGGAGGACAAATCTTCACTTCTCCTGCTCTTCTTTCTCCAACGTCCAGCTGCTCTGACCTCAGGACCAGTCGGTCCCAGTTCCAGTAAAACATGGGGAGTTATCAGATTCTCAGCTCCCTAGATTGTTGATCACAACATCGTGGCTTCAGAGCAGGAAAGAACCTTAGGTATGATCAAGTCCAGCCTATGCATTTTACATTTGAGGAACCTGGACCCACAGGGTCTTAAGGAAGCTGCTTTTTTCAGGCATAGGAATTAGGGCTTCCTAGCAGACCTTGAAGTAGTTGAAATATCTTTGAGCATTTGAGTATACCTGGCCTACTCTGGGCAAATTTGCAGAGTATAGGGAAGCAGAGATTTACCTCCAGTAGGGGTTCTTAGTCTTCGTATGTCATAGACCCCTTTGGAAGTCTGGAGAAGCCTACACAGTCCTTCTCAGAATAATTTTTTCAATGCATAAAATAAAATTCATAGGATTACAAAATGGTTCTCAAAATTTAAAAAAAATCATGGAACCCAAGTCAAACACTTTTTTTTTTTTTGGTGAGGCAATCAGGGTTCAGTGACTTGCCTAAGGTCACAGAGCTAGTTAGTATCATGTGTCCGAGACCAAATTTGAACTCAGGTCCTCCTGACTCCAGGGCCAATGCTCTACTGACTTTACCACCTAACTGCCCTGGGTCGAACACCCTTAATGCTAGATTCATGCAGTGAGTTTTCTCAATTGCTAAGGAACTCAACATGCAGGCACAGTGACATTGGAATTAGGCCAGAAGGCTGTTTTTCTCAGGTCTCATAGTCCTCTCTACCTCCTGGGAGGAGGAGATAAGTTTATGAGGTAGGGAGACACAATCTTTCCAGTTGTGTTCCATTATTGATTTTAGATGGCCAGTAATGAAGAATATTGCCCACTTCCTGACAGAGGGGTAAGAGACTCAATATGCAGAATAAGAAGCATTTTGGGACATGGTCAACCTGGGAATCCTTAATGATGTGTATTTGTTAGAAAGGTTTGATTGTCTTTTTTTCAGGGAGAGGAGAGGTAGCAGAGAGAAAAAATAAAGGCATTTTAATTGAAAAAATCATAAAATTTAATTTAATTTTTAAAAAGTTGAATGCCAAAGTGTTGACCCCTGTAGACTTGCTGCTATCCTTCAGCATACTCAGGCCATCAGCCCTCATAAGGTACAGCTGCTCTGATAAGGAAGGAGGGTGTGGCAATAGCATCTTCCTTCTGGCCCTCCTTGCTCTGCATATTCTGAAGCTGAAACTTGGTAAGGGAAAACAGCAGCACCAGGGAGACATAGAGAAGTCACACTGGACTCCTGGATAATATCATACACTCGAGTTAACCTCAGAATGGCTGAGGAGGGGGGTAGAGGTGGATACTACAAAGAGTTAGGAATTGGGATCTGGGGCAAAAAAGAATATTATTGCCTAAGTGAAAGAAATTCTAAAAGAGAGTAGGGAGTGACAGAATTTGGTAATATGGGTATGGAGGAGAGTAAGAATAGATTGTAGGCATAGGGTGGAGAAGCCACCATATTTTACATCTTTTGATGAGGCTAATTAAAGAGAAGCCCTGAAGGTCCTTCCCTCCCCTTTACTAGAAGAGACCTTAGCATCTAGAAAGAACATTGCTTATTTCTATCCCTTTGGTCAGAAGCCTTTAAATAACTGATGCTCCATTTGTCATTTACAGTCATAGACTAGCCAATTACAATCCAATAAAATACTATATATACTGTGCTTTGCAAACCTTAAAACATTTTACACATATTAACTATTATCATATCCTAGTGAACTCAGCAAATAAACTTCACTAGGTGCACCAAATGGGAACACCATTATAGGCCAAACTGTTACTCACAATCATGTGCGTGACATTGACCCATAAAAAGTTGAGAATATTTTTAATGGCTGTCTCTACAACAAACAGTGATGACATCTAAAGTACATGGAATGAAAAGCTTTCAAAATATAGAGACCTAGAAAAGGAGATCAAAATCATGTCTAAATAGGATGAGCTGCTTATCAATCTTGTGGACGTCTGCTACTGGAAGAGGTCAGATGAGCTTATGTTGTTCATTCATTTTAGTCGTGTCTGATTTTTTGTGACCACATTTGGGGTTTTCTTGGCCAAGATACTGGAGTGGTTTGCATTTCCTTCTCCAAATCATTTTACAGATCAGGAACTGAGGCACACAGGGCTAAGTGATTTGCCCAGGGTCACACAGCTAATAAGTGTCTGAGGCCAAATTTAAACTGAGTCTCCTTGATTCAAAGCCCAATGCTCTATGCACTATGGCACTGCCTAGCTGCCCAAGCTTATCTCCTCATACTTTTATTCAATGATAAAAATCAGGTATTTTGAGGGCTATGCTGGCAAATGTTTAGCAACTGACTCCGTGAAAACACATTCAATTTTTATTAGTTTAATATGGATTATTAACATTTCTCTACCACTTTCTAAAGTTAAAGCAGTCAATAAAACAATAAATCAACCCCTGTTTATAGTGTTTGCTGATTTCCAAGGTATAAATGCTCACAAAAATTTAACAATCAGCTCTTGCTGAGCAGGGCAGGTTCTAGCACACCTCTGGGTATTTTGTTCACCTGTTTAATAGAATGATGTAGATAAAGTGCTGGGCCTGAAGTCAGGAAGACCTGAGTTTAAATGTGGTTTTAGACATTTCCTATCTGGGTGAGCATGTACAAATCACTTAATATCTTTGCCTCAATTTCCTCAACTATCAAATGGGAATAATAATAGCACTTACCACCCAGGGTTGCTGTGAGGGTCAAATGAAAAAAAAAAATACTGGTAAAGTGCTTAGCACAGGGCCTGGCACATAGTAAGTGCTTAATAAATGCTTATTGATGGACTGACTGACATATACATAGTTAAGTATGACATATGGTAATTGTAATAATATCTAACACATATAACTTTTAAGGTTTATGGAAGGTGATGTAGTAGATAGAATGCCAGGCCTGGAATCAGGAAGACTCATCTTCCTGAGTTCAAATCTTGTCTCAGATACTTACTAGTTGTGTGACCCTAGGCAAGTCTCTTAACGCTGTTTGCCACAGTTTCCATTTCTGTAAAATGAGAAGGAAGTGGTAAACCACTCTAGTCTCTTTGCCAAGAAAACTCCAAAAGGAGTCACAAAGAGTTGGACACGACTGAAAACTTACATGAAGTATCTAGGTTGACCCTCAAAACAACCCTGTGAAGTAGGTGCTATTATTCCCCTCTGTTTTACAGAAGAGGAAACTGAGTCCAAGAGAGGTTAAGTTATTTGCCCAGAGTCTTATTGTGGGTATTTATAGCTGTATTTGAACCCAAGTTCTCTTGACTCCCAGTCCAATACTCTATCCATTATTCCATCCTGCCTCTTCCACCAATAAAAGAGTCAGACAAAGAAAATTTGAGAGCGGTAGAATATTTTCAACTGTGGGAAAGCAGAGATATAGAGGAGGGAGCATCTGAGTTGAACCTTGGATCCTTTCCTTTTGCAGGTTTGTTTTTTACAAATTACCCCAGAATAGAAAACAGAAAAGCGAACGGAGTGGGTTAGAGTACATGTACCTGGATGCTGCCACTAGAAGGTGGCAGAGGAGCGAGAGTCTAGTCAATATGACCCAGAGCGTCTTAGGAAGAACATTACAGCAGCTTTATGAAGCGTGGGAAGCCAAGGTAAGCCAAACTCGGACATGATCTTGTAAGATCATGATGATGGAAGAGAAATCAAAACAAGTACCCTTGGGGCTTGGGATCATTCATTCATTCAGCTTTTTTATGTGCCAGGCACTGTGCCAGGTGGGGGGGATGGAAGATGAAATCGCACCATGTCTTCAAAAGGCTTATGATCTATTCTCTGGTGAAAAAAGACGGGAGTCTGTAGGAGTCCTACAGAACATAGTTTTATAATAGATGGGGGGGGGGCAAGATTTGGGTCACAGGATGATAGATCCAGAGCTGCAAGGGACCGTCTGGTCCAACAATGAAACCGAGCCTCAGGGAAGTTAGGTGATTTGCCCAAGTTCACATAGGGAGAGGAAGTTTGTTTGGTTTAGTAGATAGAAAGCTGGCCTTGGAAGAAAAAAGGCCTAGCATCAAGTCCTTTCTCTGACTTTGGCTTGGTGTCCATGGGCAGATCTTCAGTTCCCTAGGCAACTCTCTAAGATTATAAATTTCAGAGAAGGAGCTAATGTGTTATAGTGGAAGGAATCCCATTTAGTTGTAGGGATCAATCATCAGGGACAGTTTTTCTGGTTAAAGTGGGAGTTGAGGTGGGTTTTGTAGGAGGAGAATAATTTCAGCAAGGTAGAGGCACATTCTAAGCCCAGGAAGCAGTAGCAGCAAAGGCACAGAAGTGAGAAAGGACAGGGAAAGAACAGAGGGCAGGAAATAGTCCAGTTTGGCTAGAATGCAGAGTACGTGATGGGGAGTAGCATGAGACTAGCCTGGCTTGTACGAGCATCAAAATCAATTTAAGTCAGAGATACAAACTAGGCAGCTGTGTACAAACCTCTGAAAACCAGAGAGAAGACTAGAAGGGACGAGGACAACTCTTGAGGCCACACTGACTCAAGACCTTAAGGACTGGATTATCATACTGCATAGCAAGGCTAGGTTTAGTCAGATTCGGCACTGTGTCAATGGCATCCCTTGGCATGGGTGGAAACAATTCTCTAAGTAAGTCGGCTTGATGGGAAAGCTATTACTATTCACTTTGTATTTGCTATGTGATACATTTTTTCTAGTAGAAACAGAAGAAAAAATACTCCTTAAACACAAATATAAAACTACAGGACTGAGCCTCCATTAATAAGACATGAATCATGGGTTGTTTTTGCATTAGTACTGATGACTATGGGCTAACTCATTCATGAACCCTCTCGGGGTCACTCTCTTACATAGAAGCTATTTGGCACAGTGTATATAGTGCAGGACTTGGAGTCAGAACAATCTGTGTTTGAACCCTGCCTCTGACCCCTACTACCTGTGTGAACCTGAGCAAGTCACTTAACTTCCATTAGCCTCAGTTTCCCTATCTGTAAAATGGAGATAATAATAGCACCTACCTCCCAGGGTTGTTTTAAGGATCAAATCAGTTAAAATATGTAAAGCCAGGCAGAACAGAGGACAGAATAGCAGGCCTGGAGTCAGAAAGACCTGAGTTCAAATCCAACCTCATACATTTACCAGTCGTAAAAGTTACATAACCTTTATTTTATCAGTTTCCTCATCTATAAAATGAGGATAATAATAGCATCTACCTCCCAGGGTTTTTATGAGGATAAAATGAGATAATAATTGTAAGGTGTTTAGCATTGTGCCTTGCACATAATTAGCACTATATAAATGTTAATTACTGTTATTATTGTAGCATTTTGCAAACCTTAAAGCACTATATAAATGCTAGTTATTGTTAACTATGCATTTTTAGTATGGCAAGACAGTGGGTTAATGAGCTGTAGAAATGAATGAACCAAAGTGGCCAAAATGGAGACTGAATTTGTCACCTCAGATTTGTAAGCACCATGCTCTAACCATTTTGTGTTAGCACAACAAAGCAGGCGGGGTAGCAACTTCATCCAATTACCCTGGCTTCTTTCTCATGCTCTGATGACCTACACCAGTACATAAAAGCAAAGACTAGCAGGACATTCAGTGATAGTGTTTGAGACTAGCTTTCATGATTTTGATTTTGTAGAAGTTTTGGAATATGACAGAATGGAGACCAGGAGGACTTTGTTGTGACAGAGCAGCCTGGCTGCTGCATTCAGGTGTTTCTGAGCCTCCTTCTCTCCAAGTCTCAAATCTACGTCCCACCCATGATGTGTGTGTGTCTTCCAGGGGAGGCTTTGGCTACTTGTCTTGGAAAGAGAATTGATCTTGATGGCATGGGCTTTAGTCTTAGCTCTGACTCTCACAAGCTAAACAACCAGGATGATCATAAGCCATATCATTTCTGAGACTCAGCTTCCTCATTTGTAAAATGAGAATAATCATCTTTAAACTGCCTACTTTACAAGATTTTGATGAATGCACTCTGTAAACCTTCAAGAGTTTAGATGAGTGGATATATAACCACTATATATGAGAGGCAAACATGATATAATGACTAGAGAGTTGGCCTCAGTCTGGAAGATCTAGATTATATTAGGGATGCCTTTTGCGTATGGGTTGGAACTAGATAGATGCTTAGGACCTTTCCAACTCTCAGATTCTGTGATTCCTTGATTCTGGGTTCAAGTCTCACCTCTGATACTTACTAACCAACGAATGTGACACTAGTCTCTTAGCCTCTTGATGGTCTAACAACTAAAATTATCGGTGTATACAGAATAGGTATCTATCTGCATTGGTACAGGAAGTTTCCTTACCCAGGAGTTCCCTACACCAATGAAATCACAGATCCAATCTCAAAAGGAGCTATAGAAACATAACTCTTTTTGGTGCTGGGCCATCTTGGGGATCTACCTGAGGTCTGGAGCACAAAGAATGGCAGTGATGAACATGTCACAAAGCCAGTGACAGGAATACCTGTCACTCAGTACCTGTAAGAGGTACTCCTTTTAAGGCATTCCCTCTTCTCTCTCTTTCATCAAATCTGTGCTACCCTAGTGGCAACTCAGAGGACAGGGGACCCTGACATTGACCTAACAAATTCAATTTCACTCCCTTCAACAAGCATTTATTTCTTAAGCACATCCTTAGGCACTGGGAGATACAATAACAAAATGAAACAGTCCTTGCCCTCAAGAGGCTTATATTAAACTAAATTGACACTATCTCTCTAGCCAGCAGTGCTTAACTTGGGGTCCATAAATTTAAAAAAAAATTTGATATCTTTATTTCAATATGATTGGTTTGTAATCCTATATATTTTATTTTTAGCATTTAAAAATATTATCCTGAGAAGGGGTTGGTAGCTTTTGCCAGAGGAGCCCATGACACAAAAAAAGGTTAATATCTCCCTGCTGTAGGAACTTGTGTACAAACTCTGTGGGCATAGGTGGTTGATTCTTAAGTCAAGCTGCTGCCCCAGGGTGGCCTGCCTCCAAATGTTCCTATTCACCACCTGCTGCTCAGTGACAAAAGCCTGGCCTCCAACCAGATATGAGGAAGCCAACCGTAGGTCAACTGCTATCCAGTGGCACACAATCATATGTCCTGGTGTCAGGAACATGGAGCTCTGCCTCAGCTGCCTTTTGCCAATGCACAGAAAACACTATGAAATACAACAACTAAAGAAAATATCCATGTTTACCCAGGACAGTGTGCTCTGTGTGAGTTTGATCTATTCACCCGAGGCTCACCTGTCACCAGGATGGCCCTTTGAAGCTAGGATGCCAAGCCTGAGTCCTTCTTTGGGGAATCCTTCCTCTTAGAGTAATGCCTTTAGATCAACCATAAGAAGCAACATCTTTCATTCCAAGTCTCTTGACCTTCCACACCAAATGTAACTTTCTGGCTCTTTTAAACACATTCCCACCCCGCTGACTATCCCAGGAAGACATAGGTGAACGTCATGGAGGCACCTTAAGGATGGAGAGCACCTCATTTTTGCTTTTGTAGAGCCCCAGTAGCTATCCCATTGCTTGCCATATCATGTGCCTTTAGGATCATAGAATATTAGCTATAGAGAAGTAGATGATGATGATGATGGTAATGACGCTGCTGCTGCTGATGATGATGATAATGATCCTAGTGCCTGACATATCTTTGTTCTTAATGGTCACAGAATTATAGGTAGAAGGGACTTTAGAGTTCATCTAATTCAGCCCTTTCATTTTATAGATTAAAAAAAACTTAGGCCCAAAGAGAAGTGGCTTGTCCAAGATCATATAGGGAATGTGTCTAAGGTAGGGTCTGAACCCAGTCTTCCTGACTGAGTCCAACACTCTGCCCTCTGTGCAATGCTGCCTCCACTTAAAAAAATGTTTATTGAATTTAATTGTATTAGAGATAACTGTGGGGGAAACAACCAGCTTGTGAATCAATCAGTCAATAAACATTTGTTAAGCATCTTCTATATGTTGGACACTGTGTAAGATGTTGAGGATATGAAGACAAAAATACAATCATCCTTGTCCTCAAAGAGCTTACATTCTATCACAAAGACCCCCAAGCTTCTGTTATAGTCTACTTTATCAAAATGGATATTCCTTAAAGCAGGGATTCTTGACCTGTGGTCTATGACCTTTTAAAAAATATTTTGGTAACTGTATTTCAATAAAATTGGCTTCCTTTATGATACTTTATTATATATTTAAAAATATGATTCTGAGAAGGGGTCCATAGGCTTCATCAGAGGGGTGCCCAAGGGGCCCATGACACAAAAGAGGATAAGATCCTTTGCCCTAATGAAAGAGAGAAGTTGGATTTTGTAAAGACATTAAACTGTTCTGGTAAATTGGGCAACAATTGCATCCTTCCTGCCTCCCGACTTCACAAGATGAAAGCAGGGCTTTTAGTCATTATTCCTTTGAGTCATTAGGTGGGGAGCTGCCCATAAGAAAGATTTATGGAAATCATCTTTGTTAGTCATATCAAAAAGCACATCATTGGTACCTACCTGAAAGTCGGTGCTGTTTAAAACAGAATAAAAAAAATGTAAGATAAAAATCCCTGAAACATGGCAAGGAACAGTCCTCAGAATTACAACCTCACGAACTTGGCCTTAGAGACTCCCCTGGATGTTTTGAGAATGCGATGGTATTTATTTAATGGGAAGATTCACGCAAGGAAATGAAATGTTATGCATACAATTTCACTGTTTTTCCAGGCAGGAAAATATCAAGCTAAAAAAGCCAATGAAAAATGAACTGAAAAGAGAGTTTAAGGAGAAATGCTCCCATCTCAAAGGGAAATGCTTTATGGGGTGGCGTTCCATCCAGTATCTATATAGACAGTCATCACCTTAAGGACAGGTCCTCATTACCATTCCTTGGATGATTGTGATGGCCTCCTAACAAGATGCAAAAGTATTCTCTCTTCCCTGTTTTGTCTGTTGAATTTTTACACATCTTTTGAAGCTCAATTCAAATGCAACCTATTCCCTGAGGACAGTTACCATTCTTCCTGAAACAACCCCATGGGGGTTATTTCATGGGGAAAGCCATGGGAATCAGCCTGGGCAGGGCCCTCCCTGGGAGCACGGATGGGTATGGGTGTTGGGATGACAGCTTCAGGTTCTTCCCCATTTGTCCTCCCTGTGATGACTCCACAACACTACAAAGCCCTCTGTATTATGTCTCAAATGCATTTACCACATAATTTAGTTATCTAGTTAATCTACTAGTCTTATCCTGCTATTGAACTACAGGAAGGCAAGGACTATTCCCTCCCACACCTACCAGCCCCTAACAGTGCTCTGAACACCTCAACTTCCTACAGGAAATGGATAAGGCAATGGTCTCCTAAGCTAAGCATCATGGATTTGAGTCTCACTGAGGGTGGAAAATCCACAATAGAGGCAGCTAGATGGTTCAATGGATAGAGTGCCGGTTTTAAGATCAGGAAGAATTGAGTTCAAATCCTACTTCATATACTTTCTAGTTCTGTGACCTCAAGTAAGTTACTTAAACTCTGCCTGCCTCAGTTTCCTTATGTGTAAAGTGAGATTGACTTGGTGATTTCTAAGGCCCCTTCCAGTTCTAAAGCGTTGATCCTTTTCTTTTCTCCCTACTTGTTGCATGTGCTTTTTCCCTTCTCATATATAAACTTATCCATTTATGTGTGGCAAATCTCACTTCATCCAGTAGAATGTAAGGTCCTTGAGGGCGAGAACTACTTTTTGTCCTGACTTGGTATCTTCAGCACTTAGAACAGTGCTTGGCACATAGTCGATGCTTAATAGATGCTTATGGAATTTGGGTTGGATTGGATTGGATTGGACTGAACCACTGACATTTTGACTGATGTTTGTGAATTGAATTGGTTAAAGGAATACCTAATGAAGATTCCCCATTCAGTATAGAGAAAGGACCAGTACAGCTCTCTAAGGCGACGTCAGAGAAAGGCCAAGCACCAGTAGGGTAGTATATTATAGCCGGGAGAAAGCAGTTGTAGAAAAGTAATGCTATATTGATGATTAGCTCAATCTCCAAGCTCTATTCATAGCATACCTATATTGTCAGTGGGAAAAGCCCAGGCATCATCCCGGCTGGTTCTGCCTGCTTTGTTTCCTGAACAAATATTTAGCCATGATTTTATTGTATGTTCTGATTGCTTGATGACAAATCAGTCTCAAACAAAACAAAAACAGAAAAAGAAACAAGTGGAGAAAAGAGTGAGAGGAAGAATCCCTCCCTTGTCTATCATGGTATAAAGCAGTCAAACTGCTTGGTAGCAATTATAATAATCGAAATAAGAGCTAACGTTTATATAGTATGCTTGCACAGTGCTTCACATACATTATCTCATTTTATCCTTACGGTAACGTATAAGGCAGGTGCTATTATTAGTACCACTTTTTTACAAATGAGGAAACTGGGCTTGAAAAAAAGGTAAGTGACTCACCCATAGTCACACAACTAGTAAGTAGTTAAGACCAGATCTGAATACTTTGATAATGATCTAGTTCTGTTCATTATATACAAGGCCTTGCTTTTGCATTGGCTGTCACACATGCCTGGAATGCTCTCCCTCCTCATTTCTGCCTATTAAAATAACAACAAGCAACGATGACAACAACAACCATGACAGCAGATTTCTGGGCCTAGAATCAGAAAGACCAGAGTTCAAATCTAGCCTCAGGTGCTTACTAGCAGTGTGACTATTAGCAAGTTACATAACCACCGTCCACCTCAGTTTCCTCAACTGTAAAATAGGGATCATAATAGCACCTAACTCTCAGGATTGTTGTCAAAATCAAATGAAATAATATTTGTAAAGCATTTAGCATAGTGCTTGGCACATAGTAGGCACTTTATAAATGTTTATTAAATGACTGCTTATTGATTGATTAAAGACAGGGACTATTTTTGCTTTTTCTTTCTATCCCTGGCAAGTAGCACAGTAGCTGGCCTATAGTAAGAGCTCGGTAAATGCTTGGTGACTGATTGGCTCCAAGCCCAGCACTGCCCCCACTGCCCTAAGCCTTCACCCTCAACTATAGCAAGGTCCTGGAAGGGCAGAGGCTGGATGGCTCCCTCTGGCCTTCTCCAGAAGACTGTAAAAAGCTCTTACTGCTATACAAGCTGCCTCTTGAGGGCAAGAATGAAATCTCTAGAGTGTTCAGGAAAACTCTGCATTCCAAACCATGTAGGTAGCAAAGCTGTCTGCTGTGTCGGGGAAGATTGACCGTCTTAAAAAAAATATGATGTGTTTTTGCAGAACAATAGCACTGCCCACCTGATATATAATGACAATGGCCCTCGCTCCGTGGAATACAGCTGGAAGCAAGGGCATACAAAAGGTACGACAAGAGCCCGTAGTCTGTGTCTTCTGTCAGAGATGAAACTCACCCACAAACTTTTTTATTTATCTATCCTTTGAGATTCATAGAACACCTTCCCCCGAGAACTCAAAGACCTGTGCTAACAATTTCAAACCCAGCAACTTTCTGTGTAGATAAAGAAATACCTGCCCCGTTGGGGAGGGGTGGCAAGAAGGATAGTGAGGCAGGTGGTCAACTGGAGAGACCCTACCCCCGGGTGCAATGACATGTGTGCTAAGAGGTGATGATGCCTGGGCAAGGCAGCACGTTCTATCAAGAGGGAAGTTCTTACTGGGAGGTAGCCAGCTTCATTATGCAATATTCATTTGGATATCTGGTCAAACATTTTCCATTTCAACACAAGCCATAAGAGAGATTTAGAGCTAGAAAGAGCCTCAGAGGTCAAGACACTTCCAACCCTTCATTTTGCAAATGAGGAAACCGAGGCCCAGAAAAAAGAAGTCACAGGTAGCGCATGGCAGAACCATCTCTAAATCTAGTCCTCTTTCCGCTGCTCTCTGGGGTCTTGCATAGTCAGTCCACATCCACCCAGAGTCTGCAGAATCACCGAATTTGAGAGTAGGAAGGGACCCTAGGTGCCATCTGGTTCAAATGATTAATTAAATAAATCCTGGCTAGAACATACCCAGTAAGAAACCAACTGGTGACTGCTTGAAGACTCCTAAAGAAGGAGAGCCCACTCCTCTCTTGAAGCAGCCCATTCCACCTTTGAACAGCTCTAATTGTTAAGAAGACTTTTCTAACATTGAGCCTAAATTTTCTTCTTTGTAACTTCCACCCATAACTCCTTATTCCACCCTCTGAGGCCAAGCAAGACAAGTCTTATCTCTCTTCCACATGGCAGAGCTCCCCGTATTTGAAGATAGCTATCATGTGCCCCCTGAGTCTTCTCCAGGCTCAACAACCCCAATGTCTTCCACCTATCCTCATACGACAGAGACTCAAAACCCTCCACCAGCCAGGTTGCTTCCTTGATCCACTTTTTCCCTTTTGCAAATGTGCGTCCCCTGAAATTGAGTTACTGGTGTACAAGTAGGCAGGCTTCCATTATTCTGTTAAAGCGAACATGAATGCATTATGATTGTCTGCCCATTTAGTTGTGAGAGTAATAGCTCAAATCACATAAAAGAAACCACTGACATGCACTTATTAACACAGAGGGGCTTTTACACACTTCTGTGGAAAGCCTTACATCTCATAAGATTATGGAAAGAGATCCGTGTTCTTCTTTCTGGAATTTTTCTTATTTTCTTCCTAGAGATTTTATGTACAGATAATTCACTTGGATGGAGCATTTAGTCCTGCTCCCCATTTGCCTTTTGTGCCTCCTTTTGTGTCTTGGCACAATTGGGGCAACTCCTCCTACCCCCCACATGAGTCTAATTATCTTTAGGTACAAACACATAGACACAAATTGCTTAGAACCCTTTTTTCCATGTAATTTTCCTTTGGAAACACATTTCCCTTTGGCTTTTTCTCAGGCTTTTGGAAACAGCTGGGCAGGGAAGACACTTGCTTAAGCTTCCTTTCCTTTTATGAGGTCAGATTCCAAGTTAGCAAACTGCATTCTGCCAAAACAAACCCTCCCTGTGGTTTCAACATGGGAATCCTTTTAACTCTTCTTAGGGAGGCTGGCCACCTTCCTTCTCCAGAGTGGCTAGCTGTCTAAATTATAGGCAAAGTGATTCAAGCATAGATTCTTTTTTTGAAACCTACAAACATGTTACGTACTCTTTTTTGACAAACAGTGCTAAAGGAGAGGGAGGAGTACTTATTATCCCAATGAACCATTACCCTAAAGCTGAAACAAAGTTGGTCTATAATCAGCATAGTTTGAGTTTTACAGCTTTGGAGTGTGTTTTTAAAAGAAAGAGAGACAAAAACCTAGAGAGGCAGAGAAGTAGAGACAGAGGCAGATCATCAAAGGCAGAAACAGAGAGAGAGAGAGAGAGAACCTGAGTTTCCTAATTTATCTCTATTAACCTTATCTTTGACAGGTTTCTTGCTTTGGGATAAATCACAAGGATTCTGGCTGATTCACACAATTCCCGGCTTTCCTCCTTTCCCTGAAGAAGGCTATAGCTATCCATCTACTGGGAAAAAATATGGACAAATTGGTATCTGCATAACTTACAACTACAGCCAATTTGTGGAAATAGGTAATATGGGGCATAGTGGGTTCTGATGTGAATAAGGTACTTCTCTGTGGTAAGTTTCCACCCAGCTGGTTCAAGTATGTTATTCTCTGGGGGAAATTAACTTTGTAATTTTATGCCAGTCAGGCTCTAAAGAAAAGAAGAAGAAAATATGACCTGCCTAGGAACCTCAGGCCCTAAGTTCTTCTTTAACGAGTTAATACAACTGCGAAGAGTTACCTTCCTTTGACTTAAGGGATCCTGAAATGAAAGTAGAATCTAAGATTGACTTCTGCTCGGAAAGATAACATCTTGAGGGGAAGTAATAGGGGGAAAAAGAAGAAAGAGAAAAGTGAGTTGGATTCCTAATAAAATGTCACTAATATACACATGCCTTTGGTAGTGCCCCTAATATCTTAGAAAGGGAACGAGACTTGGAAGAAGCAATAGAAAGAGCAATGAATGAACTGGAGAGACCTGGGTTCAAATCACTCCTCAAGTAGTCAGTCGGTCAACAGGTCAGCAAACATTTACTGAGCACTATTTGCCAAGCAATGGGATATAAATACAAGCAGAAAGAAATATGATCCTTGCCTTCAAGAAGCTTCCATTCTAGTGAGGGAAGACAAAACACAAAAGGAAGCTGAAAGCGGGGTGGGGGTGGTAGCAAAGGCAGGGTAGAAGAAGTCCAAAGTGTGGCTCTGATGCTTATTTACTATGTAACAATGGGGAAGTCGCTTAAACTGTCTAAATCTCAGTTTCTTCATCTGTAAAATGGGGAGAATAAAATCTGGGGTACCTCTTCAGTGGGATCATTCTTGAGAATCAAATAACCTAATGTATGTAAAATGCATTGTAAACCTTAAAGCATTAAAAGGTCTAGTTATTATTGTGACATTGGACACGTAACCTAACTTTTCAGAGGTTTAGTCTGCTTATCTTTAAAATGGAGCAGCTAAGTAAGATGGGTAGAATGCTAGTGTTGGAGTTAGGCATTGACCTGAGTTCAGATTCAGCTTCTTATATTAACAGTGAGACTTTGGGTAAGTCATTTAATTTCTACATGCATAGGACTGGTGAGCTTCCAGACCTTTGGAATGCATTCCTTCTAGCCTGTCTCAGGGGAAGCAGAGTACCCTGTGGACTTTTACTTCTCTTAGGGAAAGGGGATGTGGTGGTGTCTGTTCTGCCAGGGTGTGCTGACTGGCACACCAGCCCTGCTCTCTGCATGCTTCCTGCATGTCTATGTGCCTCCAGACTCATCTAGTTGAGTCATTGATGGGTTGTGATCTGTGTTGGTGGGAAGTTTCCCATACCAGGGAGCTCCCCACATTGACAAAATCATGGATTCTTTGGTGTCTTTACATATCCATAAAATGAGGGTGTTGGACTCTATTATTGCTAGGATCATTTTCACTTTTAAAATAAGATGATTTTTTTTTTTACCATCATGATGCACCAGCAGTCTTCTTTATGGATGTTCCAGATGTCTCCTTAGAGACATCTAAGGAAAATCATTCTGTATCTATTTACTATCTATCTATCCATCATCTATCTCTATCATCTATTTCCAACATCTTGCTA